GGCCGTGATTTTGTTGTAGTATGCGTTCCCTCTTTTAATCGGGATATCGAAAACACCTCCTGATTAGGAATCGTAATGATATAAAGGAAACGAGTAAACTTTGCCGAACAACGATCACCACTACGTAACAATGCTCGTCAATTGAGATAATTCCCTTAAACAGATGGATTGCAATGCGACACACAAAGACATGTGTCGACGCGGCCGAGCACGGACTACAACAACAACACGATCTTCTTTTTACTCGTCTCTCTATTGTTCTCACCATAGACATATATAGATAGACTGCGCGTCCCGTGAGAGGACTTGAAGACAACATTAAAGTGAGAGGAGCGATAGCTGAGTGAGTGTGCCTCTGTCGAACATGTGTCTTGGTGGGGCAAGCCGAAGAGGAGAATAGGAGGACAGTTGTACGAGCTGTACGAAGGTTATGGTTCATAAGTCAATTGACCTTGCTAGATTTAAACTCTGGTTGTTTTAATCACTGTTACGGCTTATCTGAAAAATAGAATAGAACAGAGAAACACTTCGAAACATTTGTAGCGGTCGCTGGACCGCATCCGACGTTACTTTTCCCCTTGTGTCGTTTTCACCCCTCTTCTAACATAGAGCGAGCGAGAGAGAGAGAGAGAGAGAGAGAGAGAGAGAGAGAGAGAGAGAGAGAGGAGAGAGCCTGCCTCACATAATAGCTCTGTCCTCTAATGTAGTCTTCAGCGCACCCATAAGGATGCGCAGTCTATCTATATAAGTCTATGGTTATCACGTTCTTGCGCACGCATACCCTTATAGATGCGCCGCCTAGCGTCTGACTCACGAGACTAGAAGTTCAGTTCTTTCCGACGTCGGTACCTAGAGCGAGTTTGCTCTTGACATAATAGTCACCAAATCCTCGATAAATAAGTAGCAATATTCTTTCTTTTTCGATCAACATTTTTGAGAGAAAAATGTGATATTATAATCGGAAAAAGAAACAAAAGAGACAAAGAGCGAGATACGAGTGAGCGCAACTCGTTTTTAAAATATGTGGACCGAGAAGCATCTCTGATCGCACCTCCGCGCGGTACACTTTGGGTAATGCTAATGCCAGCGGTACTGTAACTTTCAAACGTCATAACTCAGAAAGAACTTAATAAAAAATGACTTCATTATAATGTTTTGAAAAGCTCTCGAGATAAGCTACAAGAATTTCCAATAAAAAATAAGGGGTTCCATTTAAAAAAACAAAGTTGACCTTAGCAACGCCATCTATGGTCAAACTGATATAACTACTAAATAGTAACTTTTTAAGCCCTACAACTATCGTATCAAACATATTTTCGTATTTTTCATATTTCTCGAAATATTTTAGCGTTTCCGGAGTTTTTGAGGATCCTGTATAATGAAATACCATTAGTCACTAGAAGTAAAAATATTGGTCTGCCATTTCGAATTTCTCAAATTTGACTCCAGATTCTTAGTTAGCAACCCAAATACCTTGGGAGTACCGAATTGTATACAAATCCGTTGAAAATTGGTAAAATTATTCAAGACGGACATACTTATATGGGCCATTACCAGAAATGTCACTGCTTTTTTTGGACATTTATGTCCAATGGACCATATATTATTGGGTGAGTGTAAAAGTTCGTGCGGAGTTTCAATAGATGGAGTTATAAGCGTCGTAAAGTGTTGTCATTAATACTTCCATCTACATATTATATAACGTTGGAAAGGTGACGTCTTCAGCTGTTATTAAAAAAAAATCATTTGTTTTCATACAAACTGCTTCGAGAAATATCACTTTAAAAATGAGTATCGATAAGGTGCATTTACGGCATGTTATGCTTTACGAGTTTCGGAAGGGAATAAACGTTGCCGCAGCCGTAAAAAACATTCAGGATGTTTATCAGGATGAAGCACCAGCTAAACGAACTGTGGAAAAATGGTTTGCTAAATTTCGGCGCGGAGAATTTAACCTTGAAGACGAGCCACGCTCTGGTCGACCTTCTGACATTGATGACGATGTTTTGCGTACTTTAGTGCTCAATAATCCGCGAATTTCAACAGAAGAAGTTGCTACAGCACTAAACGTTGACCGATCAACCGCTTTTCGGCGTTTAAAAAAGATGGGATTCGATTTAAAGTTCGATATATGGGTGCCCCATTTGCTGACCGAGAAGAACAAAATCAAGCGAATTTCTGCAGCCGTTTCTTTAATCGGGCGGCTCAATAACGAGTCGTTTTTGGATCGACTAGTGACGGGCGATGAGAAATGGGTCCTCTACAACAATGTTCAGCGCAAACGGACATGGAAACAATCAGGTGAGCATGGTGACGCAATGCCAAAGGCCAGTTTGAACCCGATGAAGGTGATGCTCTTTGTTTGGTGGGATTGCAAGGGCATAATCTATTTCGAGCTTCTCCCCGCTGGCGAAACGATTGATTCGGACAAGTACTGTCGCCAATTAACCAATCTGAATCGAGAAATAAAAGAGAAACGTCCGATTTTGTCAAATCGCAAGGGAGTCGTCTTTCATCACGACAACGCCAGACCACACGTTTCGAAAAAGACGCTGCGCAAACTGAAGAGCCTGAAATGGGATGTCTTAACGCATCCACCGTATTCTCCTGATATCGCACCATCTGACTATCACTTGTTCCGGTCATTGCAAAATTATTTAAATGGAAAAAACTTTGACTCTTTGGAGGCCTTAAAAAACGGCGTCTCTTCGTTCTTCGAATCTAAACCGCGCAGTTTTTATGATCGAGGCATCCGTATGCTGCCAGAACGTTGGGAAAAGATTATAGAAAACGATGGAGAATATATCATTGATTGAATAAAGATTTTTGTTTGCCTAATCACTGTGTGACTTTTACTCACAAACTCCGCACGAACTTTTGCACTCACCCAATATATAGCCCATTACCAGCCAACTGGTTAATATGCGTGTTGGAATGACCGTGAGCGTGTCCGTGTTTCTGTCTTCCCGAGAGATTCGGCAACTAAGAAGCGCGCGAGCGAATATGACAAGCGAGTAAAGACAGTCGTTAGATAAGATGTAGCGCACATTGTTCAAGAAATTATACGTTATTTATATTTAACCCTCCGCATTGGAAAATCATGTATGCCAGACATTTTAATATTTAGGAGTCAAAATTGCTCAGCATGTCTGCGGCTCGTGATTTTGAGGCTCGTGATAAGCACTTCTGCGCTTCTATTCTTTATATTTTCTAAACATGCATGAGGGACACGCATGTTCATTTAGATTAAATTCTAATACAGAAGATTAAAATTTCCACATGCGCACATATACATATACACATATACCTACACATATATATTTCGGTGATAGAGAAGAGAATTTACCTTTTATCTGTTAAAATATCCATTATAGATAAGTTCAGTTCATTTATCGAAAAATTAGTAATATCCAGACATTTTGCGACACCAAGAGATATCATTTTATTTATCTGACTGTACTGATCGATGAATACTGATATTCCTAAAAGTGGCACTGCGTAATGAACAGCCTCTTGCGTACTTTGAACTCAGCCTTGATACACGAATAGTTTAATATTCGGAGCTTTAATATTCGAATAGTTTAATATTCGGACGAGAGACGGAATGAGAAATGATACGACTAGCGAATATGTTATGTGAAAATATGTTTGTTTGATTTTTCATCACGATTGTGTCATGCGTCTCGATTTACCGAAAATGCTGTGTTGAGGGAGCCACGTAACGGTGTAAATATTGTCAAATTTGTCTGGCAATTGTCCACTAAATTTCCACACTATTTTGTACGGCAAACTCGCAAACACCTCGTAAAATGCACGTAGCACATATGTTGGAAAAGACATCGTTATTACGTTTGTGCCTGGACTCACGTAGATGAATCCATTCGGCGCGTCGTCCAGAAATTTTCGCAAATCCTGAAACAAGACGATTGTGCGGTATCTACAAGGTGCGGCGCCAAAATCCGGACAAAATTCAATTTGAATTTCCCGCCGTTGTATACCATTTCGACAGGTCGCGATTCGCGTCCAAATAGCTTGACATATGTACTAAACATTCATAACCTCCAAACAGTCGCAATGTTGAAACCAAGTGCGGAGTATAATCGAAGAGCCGCAATTATCGAAAGTGTTCGCGCTGGGCGCTCAGCGACAGAAATCATTCGATTCTTCGGGTACTCAAGATCGACTGTGTATGATGTCGTCGCGAAGTATAACGAGTCGCAGAAGTTCAACGAAAGTTTTGCAACACTGGCAAGGAAAACTCAAGCGAAGGAGCACGTTGTCGAGACGCCCGAAATCATTCAACGGGAGCTCAGGAGCGGATTCTACTTTATTTATAAATTAGCTTTGACATATAGAATATTTACACAAAATCTGTCAATTAATTTGTTCGTAAGGAGAGAAGTAGTAATATATTGTACCTCGACATTGTAACAATTTTCAGCTCTGTCGGAAACGATAATGTAATCAACATCTACGAAATAACATAACAAAATATTTAACTTGCGCCAAATTATATTATAGGTCAAAGTTTGCTGAGAATAAAATATTTTGGGCTGTTGTGCAATAATGAATGAAAAAAAATAACTTTTAAAAAAATAAGAAGCAGCGCTCTGAGATGAGAGAAATTCTATACAAAATCATCGATAAAAAGTACATAAAAATAATATAAATTATTCGTGCAAATGTATATACAACGATATAAACACAAGTACTTATTGCAACAGTTTATAACTGTTGCTACTCTGGAAAATATAAAGCAAAATGAATGCATAGTATGCTCGTGTGCGTCCACAGTCCATGTCGATAAAATTTTACAAAGAAAGAGTAACAGTTTACAAAAATTATGCCTCATGTATTTTATTGTGATACCTATTATGCCAAAATGATAAACAACTGAATACAATTAGACATAAAACTACGAAACTTTAAATCGATATATTTAAAGAATTACATGTATGATCCACGTGATTCAAAGTATAGAAATGACTCAAATCGCGGGTCATTTTATCGACGACAGCAGTATGAAGTTAGAATTCTACGATCCGAACGCTGCAATTGCGCAGTGTTACACGTGCAGTCGACGACGAGGAGTAATTTGTTACAAATTATACAACCTTTAGGGTAACGGGGAAAGGCTGATCAATCATTATTTTACCGATACTTTATTGATTCTTACACATAAAGATCTTCTAAATATTTCAGACAGGTTAATGAATGATAAAATGTCGTTACAACAGTAGCGATAGCATACTGATATATTCAATTACCTGTTTTCGTAATATCACACTTGATCCGCTTGATATTTTCGTCTGACATAATATGGTGTACTTTGAACGCTGAACTTCATATTTTGTCTCGGTTGTTTCTGATAATGACAATCAGTAACAGCAATCGTCCCAACGCAAGTATAATATGCAACTTATTTACCACGTCGTAAATACATTCATTATACATTCATTATACATTCATTGTACATTCATTATACGCCAACTTAGAAGCGGTAACTTTGAATATTTATGCTTGCAAATGATACATTTGCTCGGTTTTATTTAAAAACATTAAATATGTGCTTCGAGGTACAACAACGAAATAAGACCGCAATAACAATTTCTGCGTCAAAGAACGGTGTCCTACGAGTCAAATTAAATCTAACGTAATAATTCGTAACGGATTTGTCTAATTTGACCAAACAATTGCGAACGCGTCATATTTTGCAACTTTTTTAAGCGAGAAGAGAGAGACCAATTGCTCGCATTTGTTTAACTAGATGTAATTTTGTTGTATAAAAGTTAAATAAACTTTGTTATATATGAATAAGATATAACAAAATTATATATGAATAAGATACAACAAAAATGGAAATATAGGAGAAATACGAAAGTAGAAAGGGTGAGGACAAAAAATTCAGACTAAATTCGAAGAAAAAGGAAAGAAAAATGAGACTTGTTAAAGTGTTTTTGAGGTGTCCAACGCAATTGCGCATAATTGTGATTAATTGCGCTACGTTAACGTTAAGTAGTTTTTTCCTTAATATTAATTGCCTTTCTCTTGTAGAAACATTTCAACGTTATTTTTAGCATTTTATATATAATCACCAATGCGCACACTAATATTACAAATGTTACGATCGATAAGACTGCTATAACGTCCATGTCGTACCTCTCGTACCAAGGATCATGTTTGATACTGGTGTGAAGATGAGAAACATCCCTGTGACGAATCACATACTCGATCCACCAAATTACGTGCTTCAGCATGTCATAAGGCTTATCATCGTTCAATGCCTTAACATCGAGCATTCTCTCTTTGTATCTGAAAAGAACGGGCGAAAGATGATGCATCTCGGAAATGCGTGACAGCGTTATTCCGCAATTGCACATTAACTTTGAGCACATGAACTTCTTAATATGCGTGTAGGAATGGCCGTGGGTGTATCCGTGTGTTACGTGTTGTGTGTGTGGTTAGCATTCTATAGCCGGAACGTTTCTGTCTTGTCGAGAAATGCGGCAACTAGGAAGCGTGCGAACGAATACGGCGAACGGGTAGAGTCGGTCGTTCGATAAGATATAGCGTACATTGTTTAACGGATTATACGTCTTTTATATTTAACCTTCCGTATTGGGAAATCACGTCTGTCGGATATTTTAATGTTCGGGAGTCCAAATTGTGTAACACGTTTGAAGCCGCTCGTGATACGCGCGTAATTATACTTTTCTCTATTCTTTATCCTTTCTAAATGTCAATTTAAATGAAAGCGCGGGTTCCGCAGCGCGTTCATTTAAATTAAATTTCAATACAGAAGATAAAAATTTCCACACATATACATATATTTGGATGATGGAGAAACAGAATTACCTTCCATCTGTTAAAATATCCATAATAGATGAGTTCAGTTCCTTTACCGAGAAACTAGTAATATCTAAACTCTTTGCAGCGCCAAGAAATACCATTCTATTCACATTACCGTACTGATCGACTAACATTGGTATCCCTAAAAGTGGCACTGCATAATGGACAGCCTCTTGCGTGCTTTGAAATCCGCCTTGATACACGAATAGTTTAATTTTCGGATGAGCTGGAAAGAACAAGAGACGGAATGGGGAATAATACGACTAGCGAACGTGCTATGTGAAAATATGTTTGTTTGATTTTTCATCACGATTGTGTCTCGACTTACCGAGAATGCTCTGTTGAGGGAGCCACGTAGCGGTGTAAATATTATCAAATTTTTCCGGCAATTGTCCATTAAATTTCCATACTATTTTGTACGGCAAACTCGCAAAAACCTCGTAAAACGCACGTAGCACATATGTTGGAAAGGACGTCATTATTACGTTTGTGCCTAGACTCACATAGATGAATCCATTCGGCGCGTCGTCCAGAAATTGTTGCAAATCCTGAAACAAGACGATTGTGCGGCATCTATTCTGAGAGAGAAATGCCATCGTTTGAGGCGTTGCGCAATAATTACGTTTGGCAATGGTGCGGGATTCTTCATTATATGTAAACCTCCGAATTGTATCAGATTCGGTGGTAGTGGTCTGATGAACATGGTAATCTCCTGTTGATTGACCAACATAATACTCATATTCTTTTCCATTTCATTTACATTAGGTATACCTTTGCCCAAGTATTTTTCCGCTATTGCTTGCTGTCGCTGCATATAATGGTTAAGTACGTAATGTATATGTCGCCACAGTCGAATAAAATTCTTTATCCTGTGCCACAATGATAGATTAAAACCGGTAACTTCCTCCATTTCCCAAGTCGAAGGATGCGATGGTAAAATGGGCGAACCGAGATGATAATAATGGTTATTCTGCAACGGTAACGATGATAAACCTACAAATAAATGCAAAAGTGTAATGTGAACAAGTTCTTACGTGCAACTCTCGAAGCGAGGTACGAGTTTCTAAATTTGTGCAAGCGAAAATCTGTTTATTTTCAGATGATTGTATGTGTAAATTTCGTGGCGACTGTATTCGTCAATGTGTAAAGGTTATGCTTCTTATGAGTTTCTTACATGAGGGTCGTATTTATCAGAATGACCAAGTGAAGGTACAGACGAAATTATCACAGAATTTATTAAGAGTATCGTATGGAAAATCTGCCTAACGTATCGTATCGTATGTGATTCGCCTAACGACAGGCTTTTTTGCAGTTTAGGACGACAAAAAACTGCGCCAGCTTTGTCGAACAGACTAGTTCAATACTGACACGCAATGTATATAGTAAATTGCTATAGCGACTCTTACCAATTAGAGGAGCATTAAATCTGTGCGCCAAGGCGTAGAGGCCATGTGATGTTATTACTTCAGCAAGTACTACGTCGAACTTTTCACCGCTGTTCGGTGCATACAGTTTACGTACTTTCGGATGCTTAAATATTTCCTCTACTATTGCCTCAAAATTATCCTGTAAATAATCCTGCATTATGCTCAGCCAATTATGGCTGTATCTTAGTTTAGCATAATCTATCTTCCTGAATATATCGTATGTATGTCGAAAGTCGATCTCCGTCAAATTCGTCAAGCTGGGGTCGCCAATCGGATCCGTCGTGAAAACAACGACTTGGTGTCCTCGTTGGCTAAGAGCGGCCCATAGCGATTGAAACGCTATTTGGTGACTGTAGGAGGGCACTACAACCATCGCCAAGATTCTCGCACCTTCTGTCAATTTAACGACACATAGGAAACTTGTTAGCCAGAGTCCGAGAGATATTGCAGTGAACTTCATTACGCTTCCGATATGACAGGTAATGCAGGCAGTTACGATGTTAGTGTTTTACGGTCGAGCGTCTTTGCGGAGATGGCAAAATACAGGTCGACGATACAGAAATTTTTTGTATATTTTTGTCGATATATCGATTCTTCAACTATCCAAGCATCAACTGGATACTAGCTTATGTGATGACAAAGAAATGATGTAACGTAACGACACTGCCGCACAATGTTGAAAATAATACCATGTGTTCTCACACTCTACCAGTCATTGCTACGCTTCAACTTTCGGGGGTATAGATTTCATCTTCACCGCGAACAGCATGCGCATCGCGTCGCCAACACGAATTAACTGTCATTTCGCGGCAATATAAGGACATTTATTGTTCGCTATCGTCCTCTTTGTGCTATATGCGTGCAGTACATGTATAAATTTTCTTATGTATCTCTCTACGTATTTTCTGTATGTACATACGATAAACTTCCATTAATATTGTATAAAGTTGTCGCAGGCATCTTTTTTACCTTTGGACATTACGATTTAGATGTAGTAAATATCTTTATGCACTTTAAACGCTGCGCAACATTATATATCGTTATATATCACGTGATTGGTCACATATGAACAGTGATGGGATTAGCTTGCAATAACTGTAGAGAATAATATTTTGTCCTTTCAAATCCTTTCAGGTTAGGATTACTTGGGCAAAATATAAATTTTTACTACAATTTTATCAATATGCAAATTACGTAATCTCGTGCAGAGATAACTCGAATCTTACGTATGTATTTAGGACGATGTGTGTATTAGATTTTAATAATACTAAGATATATAATACGACAGACAATGAATTAACGTGAATAAATAAATAAAATTTGCTACGAAATATCTATTTAAAGTGAACGTATTAAGATAATGTAATTACACATTAGCTTTGACATATAGAATATTTATACAAAAACTTTCAATTAATTTGTTCGTGAGGAGAGAAGTAGTAATATATTATATCTTGACATTGTAACAATTTTCAGCTCTGTCGGAGACGATAATGTAATCAACATCTACGAGATAACATAACAAAATATTTAATTTGCGTCAAATTATTTTATATGTCAAAGATTGCTGAGAATAAAATATTTTGGGCTGTGCAATAATGAATGAAAGAAAAATAGCTTTTTAAAAAATAGGAAGCAGTGCTCCGGGATGAGAGAAATTCTATTCATAATCATCGATAAAAAATACATAAAAATAATATAACTTATTCGTGCAAATGTATATACAACGATATAAATACAAGTACTTATTGCAACAGTTTATAACTGTTACTACTCTAGAGAATATAAAGCAAGACGAATGCATAGTATGCTCGTGTGCGTCCACAGTCCACGCCGATAAAATTTTACAAAGGAAGAGTAACAGTTTACAAAAAGTTATACCTCATGTATTTTATTGTGATACCTATTATGACCAAAATGATAAACAACTGAATACAATTAGACATGAAATTACGAAACTTTAAATCGATATATTTAAAGAATTACATGTGCGATCCACGTGATTCAAAGTATAGAAATGACTCAAGATCGCGGGCTATTTTATCGACGACAGCAGTATGAAGTTAAAATTCTACGATCCGAACGCTGCAATTGCGCAGTGTTACACGTGCAGTCGACGACGAGGAGTAATTTGCTACAAATTATACAATCTTTAGGGTTACGGGGAAAGGCTGATCAATCATTATTTTACCGATACTTTATTGATTGTTACACATAAAGATCTTCTAAATATTTCATACAAGTTAATGAATGATAAAATGTCGTTACAACAGTAGCGATAGCACACTGATATATTCAATTACCCGTTTCCGTATTATCACACTTGATCCGCTTGATATTTTCGTCTGACATAACATGGTGTATTTTGAACGCTGAACTTCATATTTTGTCTCGGTTGTTTCTGATAATGACAATCAGTAACAGCAATCGTCCCAACGCAAGTATAATATGCAACTTATTTACTACGTCGTAAATATATTCATTATACATTCATTGTACATTCATTATACGCCAACTTAGAAGCGGTAACTTTGAATATTTATGCTTACAAATGTTACATTTGCTCGGTTTTATTTAAAAACATTAAATATGTGCTTCGAGATACAACAACGAAATAAGACCGCAATAACAATTTCTGCGTCAAAGAACGGTGTCCTACGAGTCAAATTAAATCTAACGTAATAATTCGTAACGGATTTGTCTAATTTGACCAAACAATTGCGAACGCGTCACATTTTGCAACTTTTTTAAGCGAGAAGAGAGAGACCAATTGCTCGCATTTGTTTAACTAGATGTAATTTTGTTGTATAAAAGTTAAATAAACTTTGTTATATATGAATAAGATATAACAAAATTATATATGAATAAGATACAACAAAAATGGAAATATAGGAGAAATACGAAAGTAGAAAGGGTGAGGACAAAAAATTCAGACTAAATTCGAAGAAAAAGGAAAGAAAAATGAGACTTGTTAAAGTGTTTTTGAGGTGTCCAACGCAATTGCGCATAATTGTGATTAATTGCGCTACGTTAACGTTAAGTAGTTTTTTCCTTAATATTAATTGCCTTTCTCTTGTAGAAACATTTCAATGTTATTTTTAGCATTTTATATATAATCACCAATGCGCACACTAATATTACAAATGTTACGATCGATAAGACTGCTATAACGTCCATGTCGTACCTCTCGTACCAAGGATCATGTTTGATACTGGTGTGAAGATGAGAAACATCCCTGTGACGAATCACATACTCGATCCACCAAATTACGTGCTTCAGCATATCATAAGGCTTATCATCGTTCAATGCCTTAACTTTGAGCATTCTCTCTTTATATCTGAAAAGAACGGACGAAAGTTGATGCATCTCGGAAATGCGTGACAGCGTTATTCCGCAATTGCACATTAACTTTGAGCACATGAACTTCTTAATATGCGTGTAGGAATGGCCGTGGGTGTATCCGTGTGTTACGTGTTGTGCGTGTGGTTAGGATTCTATAGCCGGAACTTTTCTGTCTTGTCGAGAAATGCGGCAACTAGGAAGCGTGCGAACGAATATGGCGAACGGATAAAGTCGGTCGTTAGATAAGATATAGCGTACATTGTTTAACGGATTATACGTCTTTTATATTTAATCTTCCGTATTGGGAAATCACGTCTGTCGGATATTTTAATGTTCGGGAGTCCAAATTGTGTAACACGTTTGAAGCCGCTCGTGATACGCGCGTAATTATACTTTTCTCTATTCTTTATCCTTTCTAAATGTCAATTTAAATGAAAGCGCAGGTTCCGCAGCGCGTTCATTTAAATTAAATTTCAATACAGAAGATAAAAATTTTCACACATACACATATATTTGGATGATGGAGAAACAGAATTACCTTCCATCTGTTAAAATATCCATAATAGATGAGTTCAGTTCCTTTACCGAGAAACTAGTAATATCTAGACTCTTTGCAGCGCCAAGAAATACCATTCTATTCACATTACCGTACTGATCGACTAACATTGGTATCCCTAAAAGTGGCACTGCATAATGGACAGCCTCTTGCGTGCTTTGAAATCCGCCTTGATACACGAATAGTTTAATGTTCGGATGAGCTGGAAAGAACAAGAGACGGAATGAGGAATAATACGACTAGCGAACGTGCTATGTGAAAATATGTTTGTTTGATTTTTCATCACGATTGTGTCTCGACTTACCGAGAATGCTCTGTTGAGGGAGCCACGTAGCGGTGTAAATATTGTCAAATTTTTCCGGCAATTGTCCATTAAATTTCCATACTATTTTGTACGGCAAACTCGCAAAAACCTCGTAAAACGCACGTAGCACATATGTTGGAAAGGACGTCATTATTACGTTTGTGCCTAGACTCACGTAGATGAATCCATTCGGCGCGTCGTCCAGAAAGTTTTGCAAATCCTGAAACAAGGTAACTGTGCGGCATCTATTCTGGGAAAGAAATACCGTCGTTTGAGGCGTTGCGCAATAATTACGTTTGGCAAAGGTGCGAGTTTCTTCATCATATGTAAATATCCGAATTGTATCAGATTCGGTGGTAGTGGTCTGATGAACGTGGTAATCTCCTGTTGATTGACCAATATAATACTTATATTCTTCTCCACTTCATTTACATTAGGTATACCTTTGCCCAAGTATTTTTCCGCTATTGCTTGCTGTCGCTGCATATAATGGTTAAGTACGTAATGTATATGTCGCCACAGTCGAATAAAATTCTTCATCCTGTGCCACAATGATAGATTAAAACCGGTAACGTCCTCCATTTCCCAAGTCGAAGGATGCGATGGTAAAATGGGCGAACCGAGATGATAATAATGGTTATTCTGCAACGGTAACGATGATATACCTACAAATAAATGCAAAAGTGTAATGTGAACAAGTTCTTACGTGCAACTCTCGAAGCAAGGTACGAGTTTCTAAATTTGTGCAAGCGAAAAATCTGTTTATTTTCAGATGATTGTATGTGTAAATTTGGTGGCGACTGTATTCGTCAATGTGTAAAGGTTATGCTTCTTATGAGTTTCTTACATGATGGTCGTATTTATCAGAATGACCAAGTGAAGGTACAGATGAAATTATCACAGAATTTATTAAGAGTATCGTATGGAAAATCTGCCTAACGTATCGTATCGTATGTGATCCGCCTAACGACAGGCTTTTTTGCAGTTTAGGACGACAAAAAACTGAGCCGGCTTGTCGAACATACTAGTTCAATACTGACACGCAATGTACACAGTAAATTGTCATTGCAACTCTTACCAATTAGAGGCGCATTAAATCTGTGCGCCAGGGCGTAGAGGCCAGGTGTTATTACTGCTTCAGCAAGTACTACGTCGAACTTTTCACCGCTGTTCGGTGCGTACAGTTTACGTACTTCCGGATGCTTAAATATTTCCTCTACTATTGCCTCAAACTTATCCTGTATATAATCCTGCATTATGCTCAGGCAATTATGGGTGTATCTTAGTTTAGCAAAATCTATCTTCCTGAATATATCGTATGTATGTCGAAAGTCGATCTCCGTTAAATTCGTCAAGCTGGGGTCGCCGATCGGATCCGTCGTGAAAACAACGACTTGGTGTCCTCGTTGGCTAAGAGCGGCCCATAGCGATTGAAACACTATTTGGTGACTGTAGGAGGGCACTGCAACCATCGCCAAGATTCTCGCACTTTCTGTCAATTTAACGACATATAGGAAACTTGTGAGCCAGAATCCGAGAGATATTGCAGTGAACTTCATTACGCTCCCGATATGAC